CTGAAATATTCAACTTGAACCTCCCTAGTATCCCTTCAAATTGCTGACCTGTGAAAATAAATAGAAAAATAATTTGAAATAGGTACTTTTTATTATAGAAAGTCAAAAGGCCGTAATTGCACAACAGTAAAAAATATGAAAACTGCCAACTAATTCCCAAGTACACACTTTTACAGGAATATCCACTTTAATCCACTTGGAAGTCATAGCACAGCAGAGAGAGACATAAGGAACTTATGTGCATGGTTGTCAAAACATACTGAAACTAATGTCTTGAGATTTCTCAATTTTATGGACAAATTATTACATTTCATTAGCAGAAACTGAAGATAAATATATACTATTTTTTTCCAAGTGGAAATGCACTTTAAACAGATTTCATGCAGCTATTCAAACCTTAAATCACAAAGACTACATTCTTGCTTTCCTGCCATCACTATGAGTGCACCTTAAAACTTCTCCCCATATCATAAGGGAAAACTGGAAGTGGTGTACCATCTGATCTTCCTTCTTCAATACTTCATCCTCAGTGCTACCAAAGTGAAGTTCAAGAAAGACAATGGTGAAGCATATGAAAAACTAAAAGCAAAAAGAGAGCCAAAATGTGCAAAAGGATCCACTGGTTTTGCTAATATATGTAGCACTCTGGATTAATGTTCTCCAAGGTCAGAAATCAAAATGGCAATGCTTCTACTTCGGAAGTAGACTCCCCTCAGAAAGCTCCAGATCTCCCAGCAGCAGGATTCCTCACAATTGTCTTGGATCATAAGAACTGCTGAGAGTAAATCCTGTGTATAGGCAGTAGTTTACATTTTATTTTAATAAATAAATTGCAAATGGCACTTAATAGTTACACCTTCAAAAATCTGGGTGAATTTCTACAGTTCTAGGTAGCTCTTCTTCTACAGATGGCGTTATAAAACTCTACAACTATAATGAAGGATAAGACAGAAAGTTGACTTATGCAAAGAGAAACAAATTAAAACATGACCCCAACACTGCAAGTTTCATTTGCAAACTTCAGTTTGTTGGCAAGCAGGAACAGCTTTACTTGAGGTATGAGGTGAAGCCAGACAAGCAGTTATCCAAGACTAGGAAAAATCTGCAGAGAACTCTATCCACATAAAATGCTTTATATTGTAACTTGTTTAAAATTTCACAGGAACTTCAATTGTTCATGGAATCCAGAAGTTAGAACTAAAAAAAGTAGCATTATAGTTCATTGTCAGCTTTCAGTATTCCTGTGTTTCAGACATGTTAAAATCTGATACAGAAATCTTTTTCCTGACTAAAAAACCAGGAAAATCACAACAGAGGAAACAGACTTGCTTATCCTAGTAAGTACTTTAAACACATTCTTCTCGATCCCCTTAATATTTCTAGAAGCTGCTCAACAAGGCCTTTAGTTGAACTGTGGTTGTTAAATTCAGATATGTGGGAAATTCTACAACTTTGCACCTGGAGTAATTCCAGTGTGTAACTCCAAAAAGGAAAGAATAAATTCTGATCACTTTATTTATTTATTTTTTAAATTATTTTGTAGCATGACTTAGCTGCACTTTTCCACATTCCTAATAACTGGCATAAAAAAAACTCCTCTTGTTCTATACTGATGGATATGGGCAAGTCCAAATGCTGATGCAAGAGGTCTTTTTCACCACAGCTCATCATGATCTCTATTTGGTTTGGATTAAGACATGAAGGAGAAAAAAGAACTTATTTAAAATGTAAGGAAATGCATTAAGGATATTCAGTGAAGCCTGCATCATTAACTTCTTGACCTCACAGAATGTAAATTTTGACACCCAGGTGCATTATGTAAAATAAATAATTTTACAAATGCACATAGACATCTTATAGAAAAACAGTTAAAGCAAATGTTTGTTCATCCGCTCTGTTTAAGCCACCAGCTTAGGTTCATATCACAGATGTAACATTGGCAAAAGAGTATGGCTTTAAGATGGAGAGTTAGCAGAAGAATTTCCTGACCGGTGTTTTTTTAACCCAGTTTTTCTGTCTACTATAAACAACCCAGCAGTGCAGCAATTTTTTAAACTGCTGCCAAAATGCTTGTAGTGAATTTGGAATAAGAAACTTAAAATATTTAGCAGTTTCACATATACAGACATTTTGTGGAAGGTATTTTTATATTAAAACCAGTATGACTAGATGGTGGAACTATTTCCTGGTTAATTTTATTAAATTATCTTCACAGTGAAGTAATGGATGATACATTCCCAGGTGGACTAAATTCTTACTACTGCTTTGGATAATAATTAAAAAAGGAATATATACAGTGCATATGGAATGCTATGAAATGAACCTTTTGGTACTGAGTTGATATTATTCATCCATTGCCATATCACATTTGCAAACCAGAGCACAGTAATTTTAAAACTGAGGTGGGAGAGTATTTGTATACTTAATGACTACAGCAAGATCAAGAAAAGGCTAGGACGGCATGTCAAACTCAAAACCCCCATCATAGGCACACAGGAAACACACCTTACATCCTTAAAAAGATCGGTGGACGTTGCCCACGGGTTTCTTTCCTTTAAACAAAATGCTTACCAGAACTATAGGAACACATGTGTTTAACTCTATCCCTTCATCTTCTTTGGTTATTGTATGCTGAATACAAAAGGACAGGCCCAAATTGCTGTAAGGGCTTTGGAAGGACTGACCCTCACAATGCTGTAAGGGCTCACTGAGGGCTGTCCTCCAAAATGCCCAAAGGTTTACAGGAGGGCTGCCTGCTCTATACACCAGTTGTTACACTTCCGATCTTTTTTATAGGCAAAAAGTAAGCACACCTTATATAAAGCCAAGAATTTTTTTGTTAGCATAGTTCAATTCTTAAGAGTGTAATTGTTATACATATAGATATATATACAGATATAACTGTTAATGAAAAATTAAATAATACAGTTAGAATACTGCCATGCAGACAAAACCTCAAAAATAGTGATAGAACAGTTTTAACTTGTATTCACACATTGAGTTTCTACCCCTTTCCCTGATGCTCATGTTTCCATTGCTCTTCTGCGTCCCAAGGCTGGTAGTTTCATTCTGGTGGTACTGGGGTGTTGTGGTGAGCTGTTAGCACCTGAAGTCCCTTCACCAGGAACAACAGGATGTTCATGTCAATACTTTCTTCCTCCTCATCCCAGGTGCTGCTTGGAGTAATTTTTATATTTGCTAACATGCTTTTGCTCTTTCTTCATCAGTCTGCTGCTCCACAGTACCTCCCAATATTCTATACATGGTGCCTTTGACATACATTACATACTACTTTTTTTTAATCTTTGTTACCCTAAAGCCACCTTTGTCAGGTCTAGGTCTCCTTTTCTTTAGCCAAATACAGGTGCATTGAGGTCTTCAGTGCCAAGCCTGTGCAACATGTCTCATCATTCCCTGCCTGCACTCCTCCATGCCACATCCTGCACCTCCAGTTCTCAAGGCCGCTGCTGCTACACAAAGCCTGTATTTCCATACACGACATCGGCATACTGGCTGAAACCAGGACAGCATATTGGAGTCATAAATATCTCATTCTCTACATAGAATAACTGCTTGTTACTTCTATCTATAGAAAACTATGGTCTTACCATAAAAAGATAAACAAAGGCAAAATAAATTAGCTACAGACACCTGGTCAATTAGAGAAACTGCTGTTACAGC